CAAAATTTTAAAAGGAGTCTTTAATTATTAATATTACTATTTAAGGGAGTTGAGTACGGTTGTGCCACTTTTTTTTTAATTAGCAGTAATTTACCAGTTAACTGGGAGAAAAGTTTGTTAAATGGTGATTTGAATACTAATACTGTCTGTATTACAAAACATAATTCTTTTCTTCTTGTATTGAATTTTCTTTTTTTTTTCTCTTTCATGTTTGGTCTTATTGTTAGTTAAGTTAGATTTTTCTTTATATGTTTAAATTTTACCCAAAAAGGATAAGAAATAAATGCGCAACATATACATATCACATAAAACAAAACTAATTGCAGGTAATTAACTGATAATGTAGAACTTATAGCAAAATAACAAACGGAGTGATCCATATGTATATAAGTAACAACTATTATTAAAGAAATTGAAAAAAAGCTTACTTTTAGCTTTTTCAATGCAATTTGGTTTACAGATCATGTTAATATAGGATGCTGGCTTAATGCAATAATAGAAACTTGTTTGAACAATACTTTATCTTTCTTTCTTTTAGCATAAGTATGATTTAGGTGTCATGGCGACTGTCACTACCGTACCCACTCTCCCCTATTTAGAAGCTAAAGGATTTTTTGCTATAAGAATACCACAAGTAGATACAAGAAAAAAATTGTTTTATTGTTTTATAATATATTAACTAATGAAAGTGTTGATTGTTCCATAATTAATTACTAATCATCACCAATATTATTTTTCATATATGATTTTCGTACTTGTAGAAAAAGTATAGAAAAACTTATCATAATCGTCCAATAAAAAAATAATCCTAAAATTCACAGGTTTAAATCACTTTTACAAAAAATATTGTTCTTGTGTTGACAAAGTGAAGAATTGATTTACATTTTTGTAAGAGTTCAGCAGTTCTTGTGTTGACAAAGTGAAGAATTGATTTACATTTTGTAAGAGTTCAGCATTTTCGACTTGTAGGAAAGAAGGTTAAAAAATTGACATTTGTGGATCTTTTCCGATCATCGTTATTTATATGCATTTTTTGTTTTGCTTTATTTTTCATAGCAATCCAATTAGTAATGACAGTATCGCGTTCGGCTTATGTTTTCGTGTTCAAATCTCGACCATGCAGCAAGTAAACGCTATCAATTTTTTTCTAACATAATTGTTGATTGAATGCGCAAAGAATGGATAAATTAAGAACCGATGATATCAAAAAGCAAAGGATACTCGAACTGGGGTGACGAAGCAAACGATCCGTAGAGGAGTTTGGCAATATTTTGATGCAAACCAACAACTTTCACTGTTCCCGCGTCCAGTGTATAACAGGATCCCAAACTTCAAGGGAGCCTTTGATGCTGCGCAGAGATTGTCTGATCTAGACGTCTTCAAACAGGCTAAGACTGTTTTAGTCAACCCAGAGAAGTCCTTAGAATTAGTAAGAATACTGGCTTTAAGAAAAGGTAAACAATTAGTAGTCCCTGCCCCTCGATTACAATTTGGCTTACTAACCAAAATTGATATGCCTGAGAACAACTCTAGGTACCACTTACGAAAGCAGTCAGTCTTAGAGGATTAAGTGAAGCTCCACCTCTTGACATGAACACCGAAATCAATATTGATTTACTGATCATTGGATCTGTTGCAGTGTCAAAAAACGGTTTGCAAATTGGTATAGGTCGGGGTTACACCGATTTTGAATTCGCAATTATCCAGCATATTAAAGCTCTAACTCCAAATACATTGATCGTGACGATAGTGCATGATTGTCAGGTGAAAGACGATATGCCCAGCACATTGTTCGAGGCTCATGATGTGCCAGTAGATGTAATAGTAACCCCGAACAAAAACTATAATGGTTTCAGACCGACCTCTTCGGCCAACTCACATAATGTGGAGCTTGATATCTGAAAGGCGTTTAAATGCTGTAAATGCCTTGAGAAGAATAAAGGAAGATGAAGAAGCGGCTGGAAAGAAAGATTGTGTTGACAAAAGTAGACAGTTATCATGAAAGCGTGAAGAAAGTAAGAGTTCCCGATAAATTTAACCAAAGAAGTAGGTCCAGTAAGTCGGCAAAAAATAGCGAATTTGAGCCGAATGTGGGTGATGGTGATGCATCTGAGCATGGTCGCAGTGGACGTAGATTGAGACGACGACGTGTCTCTGAAATGGAGGACAACGACTCATCTGACAAAGATGGCCAAACCAAACGCGATAATTTGCGAAAAAGGAGCACGCCTAAAACGGAGCCGCAGATTGCATTTAGCGTAAAGTTGGGAAACCTTGCAAAAACCGATCGTGTTCGTAACATTATGCCTGCTTTGGCAAAACGTGGTGTAAAGCCCTTCGATATAACATGGAGAGGAGTGGAAGGTTTTTGTTATTTGCATTTCGCAAAGAAACCTCCAGGTGTGGACTCCCTTGGAGTAGACTCTATTATCAAAACACTTTTGGTATGAAAGTTGGCGGCAGCCAAGTAGAAGGAACCAACTTTCGCGAACCACATATTTTGACTGTGCAGCCTACTAGACCAATCACTAGGATTTAAACAATAGATATGACTGCCGTATAATTTAATTAATTTACCATGTCAAAATTATAGTATTCGGGAACTTACTTCTAATTATAAAAATCAGATATATTGTTACAGAAATGTAACTTCTGTTGAGCAATTTTTTGCTTAATAAAAATTCCAAGTCGAACTAATTGTGTTGTTTTGATCTCTAAAAAAATGTTTATTATTAGTTAAATGTTAATTTTAATATATAAAGTACAAAATGTTATATATAATCACTGTTGGGCATTCAATTGTTTTAGCTTTTATACATAAGATTCATAAATCGTATAGTTTTTTTTATGAACAAAAATGAGTTTTATATAAAATAATTTTTATATAATAAGTTATTATATGATAAAAAAAGCCTTTTGTTTTTTAAAATATGCCTAATACAAATTCATGAATATTTTTAATATTGAAATAGCCGTTTTTTTTTAACTTTTCCTTTTCCGAAGAGGTTTGGGCAAAACAATCCGATTTGCTAAATTTATGTTTTCTCGACGATTTAAGTTATTTTCAATCGAATGGGACCAAATTTGGAAAAAGTATGTGTGTATGCGAACCAATATTTCATCATCGTTTTCTCAAACCGATTTCAAACATTTAAAAGCCAATCAATGTAACTCGATACGACGATCGATCCAGTCGTTTCGATCAGCAGATGTGTAAAATTTTTGTCCATAATAATTTTCGAACAGTTTTTGAATTTTTGGTATTAATTCAAGATTGCGGGGTAAAAAGTTTAGTGCACAATTACAAGTCCAAAAATTCTTGTAATTTTGTTTGAATAAAATTACCACCAATGCTTTTTATTGAATCAGTTGTTTGCAGATTGTATATAATCTTAATATGTGTATAAAATTTTACTTATTTGGTGCGTTAGCCCTGAACTTAATTTTCAGCTGAACCGAATTCGGGTCGTTACGAGTACGACATTATTCGGTGTTAATAGAGTTGTATATTTTCTTTATTTTCGGAGAAATATTATATGCATATAATAAGATTTTTAAGTATGTCAGATTATGAATAAATTATGTAGGTATTTTTGGAACATTTATTCGATGAATTCTAGCGTTACCTGTACAAATATATGGATTAATTTTCAAGTGTTGGTACGTGGTAGCATAGGTGGCAAACTTTCTAATCGCTTATTTTTTATCTGCAGTTTCATAAAGCTATCAAATCAATAGTATAAATAATTAGAACATAAATATATAAATAAACGAAAAAATAATAATTATAGAAATTATTATTTACACACATGCACAATGCCCATTTTGAACTATCAATGTTCAAATTTGTTTAGTTTTCTATGCACCATTTAATCAACGTTTAATAAACATCTTTATGAGAAATCAATGTATGAAAAATAATTTAGGGTGAAGCAGTACTTCAAGGTAGGCGGGAAAAAAGGGCCACCACGGATTTCTCAAAAACGAGTAAAGTTAAATATTTTTACCAACAATATTTGAAAGCAGAGAAAGGTATTTTTCTGCAATTTAACTGATTCAATAATATAGGTTTAAATTTCTTATCGCGGCATTAAACTTTCATATTTTAATAACCATCAACAGAAATAATTTCTAAGTCTTTGGTTAGGAAACTTAGGTAGTAAATTTGCACGATACTACTAATTATGAATACGCGATCATAATCGAAGAACGAAACAAAATCCAAAGAACTTACAATTCAATTTTCATAGCATAAGTTTTACTTACAACGACCGACTTTTATTTTTTCCTTATTACACAAAATTACAACATATCCGCAGCGTAATAAAGTCATTATAGGGAAATGAAACAAAAATATGTAGGCCGACGTTAAAGCTTCGAAATGATTCAATAAATGAGAACGCTGGAGATATTTGATCAAACCGATAATTTTTAATTGTAACATAAAATTCACGAGAGATATCATTTACAAGGGTGTGATATAAAATATTATTGAAGTTTTTGTAGGGTAAGTTATAGTAATCGCAAATAAATCGAAAATGAAGTTTTTTGCATATCTTTACGTTTCAGAGGTTTCTGAACATGTTGGAATACTTTAGAAAAAATTGATGAAAGTATGTGTTTTTTTGTATAGCGAAGGTAATGCGTTTATGCATCCCGGACTAGGTCATTTGTCTGGGTATGTCGGACTCAACACCGCATGGGTTTAATACCGACTAAAACCTAAGCTTATCTCTTGCCATGGAAACCGTTTCTTTTTCTTTTTTTTCTTTTGAAAATTTGCTTTATTTGACTTAAATACATACATTGATTTTTACATAAAGATACAAATTGTATACACCTATTCTGGGAATATCATTTTACTATCATAATATAATATTGTTTGCATATATATATTTGTTTCAATTAACTCATAGAAGTATGAAAAGAGTTATTAAAAACATACTGCCATCAAGTGTTCTTACAACTAATTAACAAAAGATAATAAAAATATATATTTACAATTTAAAAAACTAAATAACATTGTACAAACTTAGTATATGAGAAACTTGTTATAACAAGCCCTACAGAGTGAAAATGCGCAAATCAAATTAAGAAAGTGAATAAAACTTGCTTAAATGAATGAATATTATAGAAACTATAAGTTTCTGCAATCAATCAATAATTAAAATATAGTTTCCAATGAATTACACATACAGGCAATTACATTTGTGCTCTCGTTTTCTCCGACAATAATTTCCTAAATCATCATTTCCTTCACTACTAATTACTCGGCTGGTAATAAAAATTCAGCTTTGTCGAATATGAAAGGTTTGATTTGAATAATACCATATGTTTGTATTGCTGATCGACACGGAATATTTGTTCGTGCCGTTTCATCGTATACAATAATATAGCTAACAATTTTTTTGCCGTTTGAGATAACCATCTCATTTAAAAACGGGCGTGCTGCTACTGAACAAAACAAATTCTAGAGGTTTCCAATGTTTAATTGACTATTTTCTGATTCATCATAATTTTAATAATTTTATAAATGTTACTCACGGATTTCACCACAAGAAAAAGCTTGAACTATTCAAATAGAACTTTTGAAGCTTTTTGAATAAAAAGTCTGTGTAGGTCTCTATAAGCTTTATAAGCTTATGCATATTAATATTATTTGCCAAATAGTAATAAAAATTATGTAGAAAAAAAAATAATAATTGGAAAGGTAAAACATAATATAATTTCATACAGTTAAAAAATTATCAAAAATTTCATAAACTATTAGAAAGGTTTTAGAAGTTTATAAGAATACATAATGTCTAAAGAACGCCTTACAATTGCATAAATTATTATTATTAACAACTATTCGATTTTCTATAAAGTTTAATACAGTTTTTCAGATAATTTTAATCTAGATAAGTGTTATCTAATTATAAAGTACCTAGAGCATATTATATAATATTATTAATATAGTTTATATATTAATGTCTTTATTAATACAAGTTATAAAATATTTTAAACTTAACTTTAAACTTGCAATTTTCAAAACCAAACTCAAGTACTCGGTACCAAATTTATGATTTAGTAACAAAAAATTGACTGGATAGACAAAAATTAAATTAAAAATTAAAATTTTCATTGTAAATATTTTAATAACAAAAATTATGATGTGAGTATTTTTCCATGTAGTTTTAGTACATTCTAGTTATTATGCTATGCAGTTTTCATATATTTTCCTTAGAAATGCAGCATTTTATCGTATATTTTTATATATTTCCCACATTTTCCCATTTTTAACCGAGTGACACTGAATTTTTGGTTTATTTTCATGCATTTTTAGAATATTTGTATCAATTTAATTACAAGCAAAAAGAAAAAAAAATTGACCAAAGCGAAAATATTTTTTTGTAAACTTTGTTGCATGACAATTCTTTGACAATGTACAATGACAATGATTTTCTCCCTATGAAAGTTAATAATAATAACTTTCATATTCTAATATAAAATTTGCTGTATTGAGAGAGTCCTTTCTCCTGGTTTGGGAACCTGTAGTTAATAACGGCATGTGTTATTTTAATATATGCCGTGCTGTACTTCATTGCGGCCTTCTCGGCCGTATATCAAAAGTCATTTTTCCGAATTTTAACATCAAGAATGAATAATCGATGTAATACATCCACATTTCGAGGTCGGAACCTTTAAATCTTCAGATATAACGCAATGTTTGAGTTTTCATATGAATCTCGGTACGATTTCGATTATTTATGCAAATTATTTGTGGATTATTAGTCGAAAATTACTTGGCCACACGCGTTCGTAAACACACAAGGGTATGAAAGTAGTATAATTTTAATGTCATTAATTTGATACAATCGTTTTATAGGATTTTTACTCGGAATAATAACATTTTGAGAAAAGAACGTTTTATTTGAGAAAAAAAAAAGATTTTTTTTTCGAGTAAAATATGAACTGAATATTTTCTGCTTGATATGTGCATCTTTAGAAACAAACTAGACATTAATTACAATCGTCTATTATATAAGAAATAATATCAAAAATTTTCACATGGGCTATGGTAACTTTATTAGATAATTTAGTTAAAAATGTGACAAGCAAACTTAATGTATTTAATCTTAATTGTTTCTCCAAAATTCCTGAAAAAACACTATTTTTTATGTCGCACATATATGACTGACTTGGGCCTAAATCGAAATAGTTTTCTCCTCCTACCAAATTGCGTATGTCAGATCTTATGTCCAATATGGCTTATATAGAACTTCTAATCGTCAGACACATATGACTGACATAACGAGTTACATGTTAACTAATTAGAATAGTGTTATATCACAATGTTCTATCCAATTTGACAATGAAGCAGTCGTGAAAAATTAGTTTTACTCTAGTGGAAAACTAAAAATGAAGCAATGATTTATCTGACTAAAAATTGATATGATGCAAA